CCCTTCATACAGGTGCAGCCAGTACCACAGCTTCAGCAGCACTTGGTCAACTGGCTTGTGGGAGCCGGTTTTCCTTCGGTAGGGAGTGAGCGGCATGATGATATTTACACTGAGGATGTCACCCTGGAGCAGCCAGGACAACCTGGGGGGTCCCACAATGGCTGTAGGGAGGGGAAGAGGAAAATGAAACCCCCCAAAACAGAAGGCAGCATCTTGTTTCCCTAGAAATGATGTTTTTCTGTTGGACATCCCACTCCCAGCACACAGAAACCTCCCTAGACCTGGCCTGATGGCACTTTGTGCTGTGAGTGAAACCAGCTCTAAAACCAGCCTCCACCACACCTTTGTGATGCTCAGCATGTCTTCGGTCACACAGTATGGGCCAGGGCTGAGCTGCTGCCTGCTGCTGAGTACCTCATCTTGGGCCATCAGATGATGGTTGGAGACTCGCTGTGGAGTCCAGCAGCAGCTATTCCAGCAAAGTGCATCTGTTTCCACACCAGCTGGATGCAGGGGGAACGGGAAAGCAGCCACCCTACCTCCCATCTCAGCCACTCACACATTCCGTTCACTGTGAGAACCCCCTGTGGGAAGGTCTTCAAGTTTTTCCTTCCTCCAAAATACAGGTAGGCTTTTTGGCCAGGATAGCCAGTCTGTGACTGAGAAGAGGCACGTGCCAGCACCTCACACACAGCCCCGGCAGAGACTGTGCTGGAGGGACAACTCCAGCCCTCCCCAGCCTGCAGCCTCATGTGCTGGAACACCCAGCACCTCCCAGAACCATGGCAGGGATGAACAGGGGATACTTTTAAAAGGCAAAGCCTGCAGGGGATCCTCCTTCCTACCCCATCTCGCTGCATCCTGCACAGACCCAAATTCTCACAGTGCCGCAGTGGCCTGGGGCCTCCCATCCACAGTCATCACCTCACTGTGCTCCTCCTCTTGTCTCCTTGCTCTTCACCCAGCCATTCTCCAGCAGCGCTGCTCCCATCCCCTTCCCCCAGTCAGGGCTCTTGGCACTTTTCCCACCAGTATCCTCATATGATTTTCCACCATATCCCACCAGCCCTCTCCAAGGCCCCCTGTCCCCATCGGTCCCTCGTGAAGAGCAGGAGCCCAGCTGAGCAAGGGAGCTCCTTACTGGTCCTTACTGTCTCTGTAGAGCTGCAGCTCGCTGGAATAGGCCCACTCAGAATGCTTGCGTCCGGCCACCGCTCTCACCCGTGCCCAGTATATGTCATGGATCTTATCAAAATACAGCTCACACACCCAGGAGGGGCCGGTGCTGTTCCCCCAGCAGGCACCTGCACTGGTCCATTGGGATGTTCTGCCCATGGAGAGAATGCAAAGATATCTCCTTTCCAGCAGCTTGTTAGCCACAAAGGAAGGCTGCCCATTCCATCCGAGGGGGAAGCGTGGCAGAGCACTGATACTGGCCAGCAGCATCCTGGGCTGCGTTAGGAACAGGCTTATCAACATGATGTAGTAAAGAAGATGGAGACTTCTCTGTGGTGCCCAATGAAAGAACAAGAGGCAGTGGGCACAGGAATTCTGCCAAATGGGAATTCCGTTTAGACATGGGAAAAAAGAACAAACAAACAAACAAACCCAAACCCCAATGCAGCCCCTTTTGGGTTTCACGGGGAGGGTGACCAGGAAAGGGAACAGGTTGCCTGGGCAGGTTGTGGAGTATCCATCCTTGAAGGTGATCAAAGGCCAAAGGACACCGTCCTGAGGTGACCCTGCCCAAGCAGGGCTTGGACGAGTTGTGTCTGGAGCTCACTGCTGGCTCCACTGCAGGGTCACTCGGGGGTGTTTGCTGCCAGATCCTGATCCCCTGGCTCCGGGGGGCAGTGGGACAAGCCCCTCCACCTACCTGCTCCTCCACTCCACCTGGAACGCAGCCTGGAATGCAGCTGCGGGGTCCGGCTCCCACCGCAGGCGCACATGGAAGTTCTGCGCCTCCAGTCTCACATCCCGCGGAGGCAACAGCGCTCCTGGGGAGGGGGAGCAGCAGGGTCAGGCAGCGCCGCTCTGCTCGGCTCCGCTCTGCTCCTCAGCCATGCTGCACACAGGCATTGTAGGGCCTTCCCCCCTCTACAGCACCCAGCTTTGGCCCTGTACTGGCAAACACCGACTCCCTGCAGGCCCGGGCAGTGCTGGGAGCATCCTGCCTGCAGTGGAAGGCTCTGACACCCTGACGTGGTTGCTGGTGACCCCAGGGTTTTCTTTCCTGTCACATCTTGAAGACCACTCGGTCCTCTCCTCCCTGCAGGTGCCTTCTGTAGGTCTGAGAGTTGTCCCCGTGCTTCTCCCTGCACTGCAGCCAAGGCCACCCCCAGCTCCCTGCGGCAGCTCGAGAGCCCAACCTACCCCCGAGCAAGGTGCAGCCAGCCAGGGACAGGAGCAGTCTCAGGGCAGGGCTCATCCCGCGGCACGCCGTCCATCTGCCCCCAGCTCTAGAGTGCCAGGCTGGGTGCCAAGAGGAGAGGTCTGGCGAGCTGGAGCGGTTCTGCCACCTGCAAACAGCCAGAACCTGGGAGCAGAGGAAATGTTTTGTTTCCTGGAGCCATGGCTGCAGGCGCAACTTGCACCAAGTGCCCATGGCAGAGTGGCAGAGGACCCTCTGCCATCCCCTGGGAGCGGTGAAGCAGCAGCAGGGCAGGTGGCGCCAGGGCTGTGGTGGCAAGTGGCCCACAGGGACAGTGGGCAGCTGCCCCACACTGCCACAGCTCTGTGCATGTGCTGCAGGACCTTCTGCTGCACCCAGCTCTAGCTGGTGCCCTGTGGTATTTGGTCTGTCCCTAAAGACAACAAGAAGTCCCCAGCACAGATCTCAGTCCACGTGAAGCATAGCCCAGGCTGGTCTCACGGGGAACTGGGGGCAAGGCCCCAGCAAGATGCTGGGGCGGTGCTGGGGTACACTCCCATCCTGCTTCTTCTCCCTTCTCTCCAAAACCCAGTCACTGGCTCCTTACCTGGGACTTGCCTCATCCCTCAGCTACCAAGGGATGTTTTTCCCTGCTCTGGTCAGCTGTGGAGGTAACCTCGCCCTGTGGGGAGACACATGCAAGGGCTTAGAGGGCACCAACAGCATCCCCTGGTTGTGGGACACATCTCCTGGTGAGGGCATGGAGCCTGGGGCCACCTCCAGAGGCAGCCGGGTGGGAGCATCTCCCTGGTCAGACTGAACATCCATGGGGCTGGCTCACTCTCACTTGCTGCCTCTTGCTTTTCCCCTTTTACACTGGCTCCGCATTAATCTGATGACCACATCTGCCTTGACGGGTGTGCATAAAATGCTTTCTCCATGCTTTCTGTTCCCTGTGAGCAGTCGGAGCTGGAAACAAGGGAATGGGCAAGTTCGAACGGGCAACTGCAAACCACAGGCTCCGAGCCCCGAGGGAAGGCCTCGGCAACGCTGGAGTTGCCGAGCTGCCCCTGCCCCAACGCCGGCACAAGCCCTCCTGGCGGTGCAGCAGGCTCCCAGTGGAGGGCACAGGCGTTGCTCCGGAGGAATAAGGGGCTCCCAGGAACGGTCCTGGGACTCGTGGAGGTGCAGAGCAGCAGCAAGGCAGCTCCTGAGGGAGGTGCGGGGACCCGGCTGCCTGCGCAGGCAGGGACAGGGCTGCTCCTGCCGTCGGAGAGGCAGCACTTTCACAGCAGCGAGGGTGGCCGCAGGATGGTCCCTGCTGAGCCCAGCACACTTGTCCGCATCCTCTTTGGGCAGGGGGAAGGACCCAGCAAACCTCCCCACCTCTCGCTTTCTGTACAAATACGGTTTCAGCAGCCACTCTGTTGGCTGAGAGTGCGGAGATTAAGCTCCCTCTGCTCCGTGCATCGTTTCTTTCGCCTGCATCCCCCATCGCCACCCCGAAGCACCAGGGTCCCCCCTTACCTCGGGCCACGTAGCTGCTCATCTGGGCACTGTGTAACAGGAACCTGCGAGAGCGAACACGGTGGCGCCGCCGGCGCCCACCGCGCTGTTAAACAACCGCCCTCAGCTCACAGCCCCGCACCGGGCACCCCCGTCAGGCTCCCAGAGCATTCGCTTCAAGCACCATCAGGGTCTGCCCAGTTCCGGGCTCCCTCCCGCACCGCGCTGGGAGGCTGCAGGAGATGTCCCACGCGAACAATTCGGCTCGGGAGGTTCGTGCCTTTTTTCCTGGATTAGGGTTATTTTTCCTTCCTTCCTTCCTTGTCGGTGCCTGGTCTGGCTGCAGGCTCCCGGCGGGCAGCGCTTGGCCGGCTCAGCAGTGCCCTCTGCGAGCGCATGGCGAGGCACAGCCTGTGCTCAGCACTCGTCTGCACCCAGCGCCCTGAGCCCAGCGCCTGCATCCCCCCTTGCAGGGACCATGCGTGTCACGGGGG